GAGAATTATATAAACTCGGACGGGTTTTCCAATAATTTTGAGTCGGTCCATCCATTCATTTTGAAGGATTCGTTTTTAAACTAAGGCCAGGTCGTCCATTCAATTTTGACAAGTTCTTTCATTAAAATCTGGATTTTGTGGAATTTGTAAAGATCTCTTCATTCTCGTTTTAATGAAGACCAAACTTATATATTCTCTTTATAACCTATGATTGTTTAAAATTGTTTATTGGTCAGATAAAACGAGACTTAAAGACGTTGTTGTTAGGTCTTACCAAAAACAAGACACGAAAAGAAGGTTGAATTTTAATTACATGACGCCATTATGCTGTTTGGTTTCTTCTCTCGGCTAAAGTTATATTTTTGGGGGGTATTTTAGATCCAGACACGTTAAACCCTATTTGTTTTCATTTGGTTTCAGTTTAGTTCCATCCATACTTAATAACGTTTTCCTGGAAGATATTTAAGATAAATTAGTCAACTTGTGCTGTAATCTAAATGCATCTTTTACCATCTCCTAGTTACTTATCTCTGCGACGCTTCCTTTAAATGGGTTTCTAGAAACTAGAAGTAGTATCACTCCGAAAGCGGAAGTGGTATTCCTCCTCCCCATCTTCGACTACACTTACGGCCCAGATGGTAGCTCTGGTGTAGCTGCCAACCCCGAACAGACAAACAAACAATACGACATTCACTAATGTATCAATTTTACGGGATTCAACAATAGTAAGCTGACTATACGTGGGCTACACAAAAAAAACAACACTTTTACTGATGTGATAGCCCCGTCAGACCGGGGTGGTGTCCTTACTGCGCTGCTAAAGCGACGGCAAATGGTCTCAGAGTGCGTCAATTTCGCCAAAGGCGTGGTGGAAACGCCAGATATTGTGCTGTGGTCTCAATGGTCGCCGAGTTACGGCATGTAAGCCAAGGTGCAGCGATCTGACCTGGAAAGCTGTGAGAATTCGGCTATATTTCAAGTTTGTAATATTTGGGAAATTTTCTAGCGTTGTGTTGACGTTTTCCGCGATCTTCTACATTTTCTGGTCGCCGTACGGTCGCAGCAGCGCAGTAAGGACGCCACCCAGGTCTGACAGGGGTATTAATGACGATTGAAGCGGAGGCACTATTCTCAAACTCGTGGATTTTCTCTAGCACCCCTGGTTCTCCTCTTTTCTCACTCTAGGTGAATTTTTAAAATACAATTATATTACGTTAGTCCCGAAATGACCACGCTTCTGTCGAGTGGGCGTTAAAGTACATTTAAAAAAAAAAATTTGCGAAATGGTGCAAAATACCAAACACTCGCCCACATAGTACGCCCCAGTACTCGAAGAGCTTAAAAAGTTCTACACGGTGGGTTAAAATCAGCACAATTATGTAATAAAATCTAGTACCTCTTAAGAAATAATAATTACTTCCCATTAGCGTTTAGAGTATCTAGATTTATTAAAAGTATGCAATGTTTGCATATATATATGTATGTATATGTTATTTGATACGCTGTTTTAAGAGCAGTATATACGTGGATGATATTCAAGCATGCATTATTCAGCGGCATATATCATATTACGTCAATACAGCGTCATAGATCATATTACGTCAATGAAACGAAATAGCTGATTCTGCATGTCAAGATCAAGACCATAAAAGGCTTTACTTCGTGGACATATTTTAAAACCAACGTATTAGGGTTGTGAAATGAAATGGCGTAAACGTGATAAATACTGGGCTAATGAAGACGGACATGGGTTTTAGCGTCCACTCGACACAAACTGGGTCTTTTCGGGACTAACATAATATGGCTCAATTTTATTTCATTAATTCGCTTGCGCGTAGGGGTCTTTAGCAGTGGGAGGAAACCGGAGGACCCTGAGCAAACCCACGAGGTTGGACAGGCGACCCTACACAACACTTGACTCAATGTCAGATCTTATGATCCAACGCGCACACGTTAAGAATTCGGATTGAAATACGGTTGCCATTTAATGATTAAATTTAAAAAAAGAGAAACGAGGCTGAATCTCGATTAACAAGTAATGTTGCTACAATAATAAACGAGCTATGCCAAAACATCAAACAGTGATAACGGCCCTCACAATAAAGTAATTTGAATGAAATATTCAATATATCAGTTATTATGTACTGTATTTTTGGAACCTAAAATAACCCCACAAGGAAGAAAAAACCCCCCAACAAAAGTAAAAAAAAAACCCCCAAAAACTGACGATGAAATCAGGAATTCGAAATAAGAATAGGGCGCACTTATAACACACTAGATGGCGTATGACAGTCGTCATTACCCCGGTTAGCACAGAAAAATAGTGCGTTAAACCCTATTTCATTCATTCATTAAATATCCCGGTTGTTTCAGAAAGTAGTAAGTTAAACCCCTTTCATTAATTCATTCATTATCCTGGTTGATGCAGAAAATAGTACGTTAAACCACATTTCATTCATTCATTAAATAGCCCGGTTGATGCTGAAAGTAATACGTTAAAATCATTTAATGCATTCATTATCCCGGTTGATGCAGAGAGTAGTACGTTAAACCCCATTTCATACATTCATTCATTTGCCCGGTTAATGCAGAGAGTAAACCCCCTTTCATTCACTATCCCGGTTGTTGCAGAAAGTAGTACGTTAAACCACATTTCATTCATTAGTCCGGTTGATGCAGAAAGTAGTACGTTAAACCCCTTTTCATTCATTCACTCATTAGCCCAGTTTGGAGCAGAAAAGTTGAACGTTAAACCCCTTATAATTAATTTGCACGATTTTCAAGTTATACATGTCTCTCTCGGCTATTATTCTAGATATATTTAATTGACGCGTATACAATCTCCCTGATAATGTCTGTCTACTACATCGTTAACACTGTTCATCACGTGCATTTTGCATACCGATAGTCCATTGGCCAATCACGCTATTTTACCGAGATTTCGCCTAATAGTTTGGATGCAGCTATGGCGGGTGTGGTGCCAGGCAGGGTAAGCTTACTCTTCCGGACACCTGTTACCACTGTTTGTCGTGTATTTTGTACACGGTGAACAGTCCATATGCTGATTACACTATTTTGCCTTATTACACTATTTTGCCTTATTACACTATTTTGCCTATACCATTTTTTAGGACTTCGAATTTTGTCTAATGGTTTGGATTGTTCCTACTTGGTTTTATTTTATTTCAAGTTATAGAGTATGTAATGGGGTGTAAGAGCAGGTCGCAGCGCCGCTGTCCTGGCAAAATTTGTAAACTTGGGACGTTAAACCCCATTTCATTCATTCATTCAGGGGGTTAAATCAACTTATCATTTCATTCTACGATTGTTAAACCGACCTCCCACGCGTTTCAAATGATAAAGTAATTAACAAGATATAAGTACAATATACGGAAAGGAAATAATGGATGTCCTGTTCGGTCTTTGATGTGTTCAGCTAACTCATTATTAACCTAATTAACGCCAAAAGTCGCGTGCCGATACTATTCATAGAGCGAACATTTAAAAAGTACAAACGTATCTTCCGGTGTTGCGGGTTTGGCTCAGTACCCGTTTTAGTTACAACCAAAAGTGAGCTTAACCTTGACATGACATGTGTGTACGTAAAATAGCGGGCACATAGTCACCACCGGACACTGTATCACCCCTTGGCCCAGTTGCCAGCCAGGGCTACTGTCCATACCGAGATTATATCATTGATAGCAAAGCTAGCAGGACTGCACACGTTCACCTGTTTCCTACGATCTACTTACACCGAGAGTAACTCCTTTGGATGAACTTACCTTTAAACCTTATTCCAGGAAACGGAATCGACTAGGACCCCTAATCGATCTTGTGTCTCCTACCCATGCTAGTTTAAGCCTACTATTTGGCTTCTCTGGCAAGTGTCTTAGGAAAGTGGAAGCGGTCGTTAAGCCTCCACCCAATAAGAAGACATAAATGGTGTAAATAACTAACAAATACAACACCAAAGCAATGATATTTACTAATATTAATAGCCTATAGGTAGCAAATGAAAGAAAGTCTAGTCGTTTATGGGACGAAAAATCGAGGTCCCCTGTATACGTTGACTGTTACGTAAAAACTACCCTCGGCAGTTGTAATACGAGGAAAAGTATGAGGAAACGCGAGGGGAAAGGGTGAGGTGGGATAAGATAATATGATATCAGATTTGGGAATCTCAAATTATACGTGATAAATACATATATTTGACCATTGACCGGGAGCGAACACAAATGGTAAAATATAAAAGTGACGTCACATTGCATAATTCGTCATAGGTCAAGAGAAGTAAACAGGGTTAGGGTGATTGTTGTCGAGAATGTGGGTTAGCCCTAGCCCTAACCCGAAAACTCACATTATTTGCTATTTGTGGCCTATGACAAAACTTTCAATGGGCCTTGTCTATTAGCCCTAACCGTGGACCCATATACAATATTTCCGTTTTCTGTGACATGTCCATCGCATGTAGAACTGTGAATTAAGCGCTGGGAGGAAACTTGAGGACCTGGAGAAAATCCACGAGGTTTGACAGGCGACTCGACTCCTTGTCACGTACAACCTTACAGTTGACTCAATGACAGACCTTATGATACAGCGCACATGCGCTAACCAAACGGCCATCCCCACCTCCCCGACAAAAACAAGACTTAAACATAAAGTAAAAACCCTTCAGACAGACAAGGGAATTTTTTAAAGCTAAATTACCACCATTTTCAGCAACAGCAATACGAAAGTTAAAACAGTGTGTACAGGCCCAGGTGGGCTGACAATAACAAACTAAATTCTCAATTAATTTTTGAATTAAAATAGATAAATTGACACACCTGAGGTTTTTGTTGTCTTTAAACCCATTCTACATCTATAATTGATCATACACGAGGCTGTTATAATACAGATGGACTTAATTTGTGTTAGAAGTTTTATTTATTAACGGTTTGATTCAATACAGGTGCAATAATTGAGCGACAGGTAAAATGTATAAAAGGTGACGGTGTGGCTACTTGCTAATCATTGGGAAATAGATGACTAGACAACATGTTCGCAAAGATCCTGGTAGTCGTTCTGGTAGCCCAGGTGGTTCTGGGTAAACAAGTTGATATAAAGGTAAAGTTTTCATAAATTTATAGATTGTGTGAGACAATTTGCCAAGGCAGAAACTCGTTAGGTGATAAAGGCGTTTCACAAATTACTGGCGCCGTTTATAGGAAAATCAAATATACAATTATCATATACTGAAATGGTTGCCTATGTGCCTAGTCGGAACGAATAACTGCGTACCACAAATATCCACGTTGGCGTACAGGTAAAGGAACTCTTGGCAGTTAAAATACAGGGACGAATAGGGAGAAATGCTGCTCTATGGGTACATTTCTATATGATATGAAATGGAGTTAAACATCCTACTGTTCTAAAGCGACTGGGCTTATGAAAGCCTGAATGCGCCGCGTAGTGCGCCATGTTCATCGAGCCAGCGCCCTACTTATCGATTCACTGCGGCTGTTCTAAAGAACATGGATTCACAAAGATACCTCAAACGGTACGGAGGAGAATTAACTAAATGATTCATTATTTAAGATTTAGATATAAGGCTAGGCAGATTTATCCCTTCTTTCACACAACGGTTCGTTTTTAACCTCTCTAACCATAGTGTTAAATGCTGACAGGCTACAATACATAGTAACCGCTGTAAATCGTGCATTTATTTAATATTTTAGGATGAACACCAGAAGCCGAGGTTTAAGCGAAGCTGTAAGTATAGTTACATCGCTCCATTTTGATTCTAGTTTACTGTTACATCTTGTCAATTGAAACATTTGCCGTAATTTAAACAAACTGATTAGAAACTATTTGTTCCAAAACCCAGTTTAACTTTTACCAAGTAGGGTTTGGCCTCTAAAAGTGTTTGGGCGTACCTCAAGGTTCAGAGTTAGGGCTTTCGCCGAGCTGGACATAGATCGCTGTTATCATGATAAAGATACATATAGAATACGTGGTTTTACAGGCTGCACCATTGGCAAATACAATATTAGTATCACCAACGTCGGAATATTATTAGAGTAAGTTATGGAAATGGTCAGTTATTCAAAACAAGTAAAATGAAAGTGATGTTTCTATTTTTAGCCTGTGCCGTAACACCGAGAAAACTTGGTGATATGACAGAATTCAAATACCCAGCTAGCGGAAATTATCAAAATTATGCTAGGTGTAATTGGCAAGTTTGTCCTGGTACAACACGAGCACAAGTTACTATCACGAAAATGGACATTGAACTACAGGCATCTTGTGGATATGATGCAGTAATAATTGATAATATTAAATATTGTGGCACTTCACTCAGGACACTGGATGGTAAGATGGGGTTTTTTTCTGTCGCATTTACACCTTTCTTTGTTTTTTTGTATTCTTCTTGAGAATGTTAACGTTGGTTTTACACTGTTTATAATATTTTCGTTTTGTTTTCTTGGGTGGGGATTGGGTGGTTAAACGCTTTAAGTGGCGTCGTTTTTATTTCCCGCGTGTAGGTGACATGGAGTAGGGTCGCCTTTTTTGTGTTTTTGTGGGGTTTACGTTGGTTTTACTTTGTTTATATTATTTCTGTTTTGTTTTCTTGGGTGGGGTAGGTGGATAAACGCGTTAAATGGCGTCGTTTCTATTTCCCGTGATTACGTGACATGGAGTGGGATCGCCTGTCCAACTTCATGGGTTTTCTCGGCGTCCTCCCAGTCCATAAATAAAGACCCTACGAGTAAGGAAATTACTGAAATATAATGGAATCATGGCAGCCCCGAATACCCCTAGTGGGCCCTAATATAACACGACTGTACAGTTATATTTTGTAATTACCTAGAAGTTCATAGGTTCGAACCTTAAGTTCCGGTTCCCAGGCCCGTATTGGGAGTGGGGCTGACTGGCATGGATCTAGAAGCCCCAATATTAAATTTGCCGACAATTTATTTCTAAAAATTATTTATATGTTGTATACATTTGTACCATCCTGGCATACATATTACATCTGTGTGAATGTGATGGACAATGACCAGAATATTTTCAATTTTCATGCAAGGACCCTAGTAATAACTTCAACCAGGGGACTCGTGTAAGCTTAATCCGGTAACATTGTCAAAAATTGGCAATCATGCACAGATTTTGTAATGTTTTTATTTAAATGTAATTCATTCGGAGGTACAGAATATAGTGAGTTGGTCCATTTCACTGTATTGTGATTATTTACAAATGACAACCATATACATATGTGAAATATATAACAGCGGGGGTCTTTGTTTAATTATTTTGACAGTATCTACAGATGGTGGCTGTATTGCAGTAGGATTTACAAGTGACGGTAGTGTACAGATGTCTGGATTTGATCTTGAAATCAGACCAATCCGAGGTTAGTTTCCAATCTGTTTATAAATGAAATGAAATGGTGTTTAACGTCCTACTGTTCTGCCCTAAACTGGGCGAATGAAGACGGGCATACGCCATACAGTGTGCGATGAAGGAAATTTTGCCCGGGCAGCGGCGCTACAGCCTACTCTTATATCGTTCCTTTGTATTTGATTGGTTACCACATCAATTAAGACAAGTACGTTCCATTATGTGACGGCAAGATAATCATACGCGTTATATAAGTGTTTTGTATTTACAATTATACGGAAAACGGTCTACAAGAAAAAAGACTCAGTATACCATTAATGAGTCCATTAAGACCATAATATGTTCAAGCATAATAATACATATAATTTTAATTAAATAGCCAGTCAAATGTCTTAATACAGACATTGCAAAGACCTTTCTAGATTTTATCGTAGCTGAGGTTTCTCGGTTTCCAGGATGCTATAGATCCCGTCCAACGCACGAATTATTGAATGAAAATATAACAGTTGTGTGAACGTTAAAGCCCCATTTCTCCCCTGATATTTTGAATTAGGGTCTGGAGAATAAACTAAACATTTCTACCCAGTTTAGAATACGTCATATTTTGCTGTATATTATGTCTTCCTCTTTTATGTTTTTGTTTTTCTAAGAATATTCTAGTACTGCCGACTACATTTCAGATAACTACAGCTCCGATAGCTACCCAAGCTACAGTTCGGATTCTTACCCAAGCTACAGCTCTCATTACTACCCAAGCTACAGCTCCGATCCCTACCCAAGCTACAGCTCCCATTCCTACCCAAGCTACAGCTCCCATTACTACCCAAGCTACAGCTCTCATTACTACCCAAGCTACAGCTCCGATCCCTACCCAAGCTACAGCTCCAATTACTACCCAAGCTATAGTTCAAGCTACTATCCTGACTCTAGCCAAGGGGTTTATAACGGTAAGTAATATCGTCAGCGTCAGGAACAGTTTGCAACACAATTATTATATTTTACCTCAAATCCGAGCATAAAAACCGGTATAATAGATACCTTTCTGAACCCAATCAGAGTAAACATTAAATTGTAAACATCAACATGGAGAGGGGGGGGGGGCATAATGACAAGTTTAGCCCTGTTTGTTAATTAGTACATACACCTGCATGTTTTTATTAATATTGGTCGTCAAATATAATTTAGATTATGTAAGTCACAAATTAAATGAACTAAAATATTCTGGTCGCATTTAGAATATTAATGTTTTTCGTTGTTTTATCAGGAAACTCGAGCTCCGTATTTGGAATGGTGGGCGTTCTACACCACGCTCAAGATACTTTACAAGACGCTCAGGAAACAGTTGACGCTATTGAGGAGCAATTACAACTGAAGTAGATGAGCATCTATCATTTAAGGAACGGAATGCTGTACTTCCTGAATAAACATCTAAGCAAATGATAATGTCCCTTTTTAATGTTCTCGTCTCTTGACTTGGTAATTCATTTGATGGTAGAGGGAGAGAGTATAACATTTATATTATCCCAAATGGGTCAGTGCCATATCGTGTTATAAATGACAAATTGTGGGAGGGTTTTCTATATTGATCGTCATATAAAGTTATTTTAAATTGAATACTTTCTTGATGGACAAAGGCTAGTAAATGCTTCCCGTTATGCCATGACCCATGATGGACGAATGTAGTGGATCTTTTTTTTTATCGCAATTCTCTATTTCCCCCATACACGTGCTGTTGACTTTCTGGTCTAGAATCGAATACTTTCCATGTTTCGACAGGTTTTGTTGAATATTCACGAATTTGAGGCGAAGGGGTCGCGAATTAAACATACATGAAATGGGGTGGTCGCATACTAAAATGATGTCACTGCCTATCACCAGGCCTAGCAAACATTCGAAACGGTCTTCCCCTTCAATATGTTTACCAGATGATTGTGATAAGGCGGGCCTTGTTGTGGTTATAACTATAAAATAATCTGAATGTTCAATACGTGTAATTAGTCCAAACATGTCAAGGATTTAACACGGAAATCAATGTGGGTTTGGGGGGGGGGGGAGAGAACTGGTCCGACACTTGTTGACGATGACTGATTGTCTCCCTTCGTATCCATTCCCTGTGATGAACAGTCGCCAAATGTTATGTCAAATAATATATCAACTAATTCCGTCTTTCAAATTTATACACAGAGAAAATCTAATATCGACAACCTTAATGTTTATGCGCTCAAGAGAAATTTAATACGTAAGTAATTATATGCGAAAGTAGAGACTTTTGGCAAGTGGGATTTTTCCCATCCGTATCACGTATCTGTATCGTTACGTGATACGTTCCGTTAATTTAGTTTTAGAGTTTTGGCAGATTTTCGCGCCGCGTACGTATGGGTAGCTGAGCTGAGTGTAGTTCTATTACAACATGATGGCAGTTATCTACCAATATCAACATCAGTACTAGTCAAGTACTTAGCATACAAATTCCTGAAGGGAGTGAAGTCGCTCGACAGTCGCTGAGCTATTTAAAAAAAATTAAAAAATTAAGGTCGAATTTTATTAAAAATCTTCGACTTCGACTCGACAGCAATTTTTGTTTTCAATAATGTGTCGTTTCAGAAAGTATAATATACCACTTTTACGGATTTGCAAGGCCCCACCTCCTTAAATTTTGCCTGGCTCGCTAGCCTGGAGGTCGAGTTTCGATCCCTGCATTGGCCGAGAAAGTTCGTCCAGATTTTCCGACGTGGTTTCCCCTTGTCAGTGGTGCAGAACGGAGGGCCTGACAAGGACAGCTGTCTAGTCCTTCGGATGATGCGAAAAACCGAGGTCCCGTGTACACATTGGCGTGCACGTAAAAGATCCCTTGGCAGTTGGAATTCGATATAAGAGTAAGCCGTAGCGCCGCTTCCAGGGCAAAATTTCCCTCATAGCACACTGTATGGCGTATGCCCGTCTTCATTAGCCCAGTATAGGAGTAGGACGTTAAACCCCATTTCATTTCCTAAATTTAGCACGTAGATCAACCAGCGTGCGGACAGGAAAAATATGAAAATCCCACGAAAAGTTCATCAAAAGAAATGATTAAATTCCAGTCTTTATCATGGTTAAAATCACATCAAATATACACATAGATTCATAATAACGCTACGGCACAATATTTCAGCGTCTAAAAGTAGCAAAAAAATACGGTAAAAAGACGACGATGTTATATGGACCTTTTCCCTATGAAAGCTGTTCAATACGTGCTGTCGTATCCGTGTGTCGTATCACGTATGAGAAATACACACGCATTGATGACGTCGCACACAAAATCGTTACGGGTACGCGATGCGGACCACGAATTTACGCTTGCCAAAAGTCTCTAGTGAAATAAACATTTTGACGTATTCTGTCGTCCATACATACATGTAAAAGCTAAAAAAATATTAAAATCACTGTTTTCACATAGTGTACAATATATGGGACCTCTATATCTCACTCAATACAGCGGAAAGATGCTTATGTTATTGACAGGAGGATTGCTAGGATGTCACTGAGACAGATTGTAGGAAATATTGCTCAGACTAATGATGTAAAAGACCTTCAACGTAGACCCCACTGCTCGAGAAGATGCTTCGCTTTTGGACCAAGCACTAGGTTGGAAATGGAATGGTTACATAATCGCCCCTATCCTACATAACTGTACTGAAAATGGCGAGTTTGAACTTTGTGCTAAAAGAGTTTTTTTATGTATCCAGATCGATGATTCTAATTATAGACATTAACGTGTTCTGTAATGAAATGATCAAACATACCTTAAAATCTATTAATCGATGTTATAAGATAATAGTAAAATCAAAACTCTTATCGGGGACGTATTTACCTCGGAGACGGAGGATAGGATTGGGTGGTGACATGTTTTGTTTTTAACCAGAATTACTCTTTTTGAACAGTTCCTTCCCGTAATACGCCTAAATATAAAAACTAAAATTAACCAATAGGAGGGAGGAGATGCTCGCCAATTGTACTACTATTTGAATTAATTATTATGTCTCTCATAAAGTCGACCAAGTCACGCATTTCTGTCATTTTGTCGCTTTTGGCAAACGAACACACTGAAATTATTTGGCCTATAATTAACAGAACTGTAAGTACATGTACACAAAGCAGCTTGGCCTACCCAAATTACATCTGAAAAAAAAAACGAGACCATAGAGGCAAATATAAACGAAGGTCTGAATACACGGGACGGTCATGCTGTGTGCAAATTAAACGGCTTGTTAATTGAACCTTCATAAGAGACCAGTCGGTATGTTTTCTCCATGTATTAACGGATTATTCACTGGTACTTAATAGGTCACAACGACCCATAGCTTGTAGCCTAAAATGGATTCTGATTGGTTGAAAATTGGCGTCAGATAACCTGTATTGCGACAAGAAAGGTCTAATACCGAGAGAGTTGTGCCCCTTATTGATAAGACATTTACACACAAACTGGGGATGCTCGATGAACGTTCGAAATATAGTGGCAATCGACACAAAATGGGGATTGTTGGCTAGAACACATGCGCCGACTGCATGAGAAAACATCCCAACAAACCATGACAGTGGAAACATATTCAATGTGTTTAATTACGTTACGATTCTACAAACACACCACCTCAGTTGACGGGACTGTCAGAACTGTGACAGAACTGCATTCCGCGTCACACGACTGCATTCCGGCGGTTCGGAACGTTCTGGCCTGACAATCGAGTACCCCCGTGTAATGCCTGTCAGCGAAATAGAGGCTATTTCGTTTCGTTTTTATAGTTCACAATTTCGTTTTGCTTGTCTTTACTACACTTGGATATGGAAGACTTGTTATTTAACTCGTGTTCTGCTTGAAATGAGGGGTCAGCCAATCAAATGATCTGTCGAATCGAGTGTTTGACCTTTTTTGCCCGGAACTGTGGGTAATCCACTAGTAACATCAATGCTGATTGGTTAATCAAATGTCTGATGTCATACTTTAAAAGACTGTCTTTTGACCCCTGACGTGACCTATCGCTATAACTTGTCAGATCTTCGTGTAGTGTAGGCCATCGAAAGTATAAAACCAGCGGCTGCCAGGCAGGATACGCCCACATTTTCGAGAGATGGATAGAGAACAAGCTAACAAGAAAGTGATTTTTCCTACAATCAAGGGCCATAATTCAGGAAATTACAATTCGATATGCGCATATATCGAAAGGAACTGAGATCTTTGTGTTATAAACTTACATTTCAAGTTTCAAAATTGTGACCTCTATAGGGTCCACAACCTTGATATACCATATTTTTACGCTATTTGAGAACGAACGGCGGCCATTTTGTCTGTCAATTTTGGGCCGATTTTCACAAAATTCAAACTTAACTGTACTTAGGGTGGAACGGTAATATAATAATACGGTTAAATGAACTAAAATATTCTGGTCGCATTTAGAATATTAATGTTTTTCGTTGTTTTATCAGGAAACTCGAGCTCCGTATTTGGAATGGTGGGCGTTCTACACCACGCTCAAGATACTTTACAAGACGCTCAGGAAACAGTTGACGCTATTGAGGAGCAATTACAACTGAAGTAGATGAGCATCTATCATTTAAGGAACGGAATGCTGTACTTCCTGAATAAACATCTAAGCAAATGATAATGTCCCTTTTTAATGTTCTCGTCTCTTGACTTGGTAATTCATTTGATGGTAGAGGGAGAGAGTATAACATTTATATTATCCCAAATGGGTCAGTGCCATATCGTGTTATAAATGACAAATTGTGGGAGGGTTTTCTATATTGATCGTCATATAAGGTTATTTTAAATTGAATACTTTCTTGATGGACAAAGGCTAGTAAATGCTTCCCGTTATGCCATGACCCATGATGGACGAATGTAGTGGATCTTTTTTTTTATCGCAATTCTCTATTTCCCCCATACACGTGCTGTTGACTTTCTGGTCTAGAATCGAATACTTTCCATGTTTCGACAGGTTTTGTTGAATATTCACGAATTTGAGGCGAAGGGGTCGCGAATTAAACATACATGAAATGGGGTGGTCGCATACTAAAATGATGTCACTGCCTATCACCAGGCCTAGCAAACATTCGAAACGGTCTTCCCCTTCAATATGTTTACCAGATGATTGTGATAAGGCGGGCCTTGTTGTGGTTATAACTATAAAATAATCTGAATGTTCAATACGTGTAATTAGTCCAAACATGTCAAGGATTTAACACGGAAATCAATGTGGGTTTGGGGGGGGGGGGGAGAGAACTGGTCCGACACTTGTTGACGATGACTGATTGTCTCCCTTCGTATCCATTCCCTGTGATGAACAGTCGCCAAATGTTATGTCAAATAATATATCAACTAATTCCGTCTTTCAAATTTATACACAGAGAAAATCTAATATCGACAACCTTAATGTTTATGCGCTCAAGAGAAATTTAATACG